ACTCATGATTCATTTTGTAGCTGTCTCCAGAAAAATGTTGAGGTGGGTGGTGGTGATACTAATAGGAACTTCCAAAATGTCCTTCGTTTGATCCCGTGTCTTAATTTTAACCCTAGCGGATTAGCATTTTAAATAAGTTGCATTAATCCTGTGTGACCCACCTACAGGTATCCATTTAAGATGTGCTCATAAATTGTGAAAGGTGAAATCAGGAATCTAGCCGTGGTGGGAGCAGGGGATAGTTTGTGAAGGGAGCCAGTGACCACACGAGGCGTGTTCTGGTCCTGTTTGCTCTGTTTAGCTGCAAAAAGGAATTTGGAAAACGCCCCATTTTAAGAGTTTGATTTTACAGTAGCAATGTATTGAAGTGTCCATGAGATGTCCCAGGAATTCCCCGTGGGACTCTCCAGATAAAAAGTTAACTGTGCAGGTGACTGGGAGATGCAGGACCTGGACTTCATTCTGTTTATGACCAAGAAGTGACATAGCTAGGCTATGATTGAGATTCCGCTCCCCCCCCACCCCCCAACCCCAGAAGTGGCATTCTTAGAATGAGTGTACTGTATGGCTATCTTTCTGTTTGCAAAGACAAATGAGGCTTCTAGCCCGTATAGGTAAATAATTTTCTGAGACAGTATAAGCTACATGATAATGAAAAGGGTTTGCCAGCTTAGCTGTATTTTTCTAGGAAAGCAGCTTTTTGCCTTTTGATATTATGCTCCTGATTAACATAGTTATTCTAGAAGTCTGCTTTAGCCCCAGCCGTGCATCCATTCAGTTCACATCTCACTAGGGTGAAGTCCCAGGAATAGTCCCAGTGCTTTGGATGCATCACTCTTTCAGGTGGTGCTGTAAAATAAAGGTCATGAAGATCCTGTGACAAGTTCTGCTAGATATAGAGGTCAGCCATGATGTAGCTGGTCAAGCCTTCTGTTCAATGTATTGTTCTGCTCAGACTTGCGTGGTTATCACTTTCTTCTCCAAAGGAGCTGCATTTTAAGTGAAACTAAATTGAAAGCACTCCGGCAGGTGGCACATCATTGGCCTAAGTGGAACGACAGAGGTGAATTGCAGTGGTTGTTATGTGTGAACCTGACACTCGAGCTCACAGAAGTTTGCCGCTAGTGTGTTCTGGCACTCTTGTGGGTAAAGGGAGTTACGCAAATTTAAAACTAGGTAAAACTAGGTTACTCTGTCTTTTGATGAAGCTGAAGCTTAAACTTAATAAAAGACCAGTCTGTAGAAGGACATGCGTTCAAGAACCATCTCTTCTAAAATGTGTTTTCAGAAAAAAATCTTTTGTGAAAACTGTTTGGTCTGTTTATTGTCTTTAATTGACTAACCGGCCTGGGCTGCATTCAACCATTTCTAGATGAGTTCTTGAGAGCTCTGCTAGTATATGGCCATTTCTTGAGTGTGAGCAAGCTTTGAAATCTGTTGAACTTCCCATTCAGAAAACTCAGAAAAGAGTCCCAAAGGATCATCGATACAGGAAAGAGAACCAGACTCATTAACAGAAGAGTTTTGTGAACTCATGAAAGATGTGCTTTTGGATTTCCTGAGCAGTCTGATCTGCTGTGCATTGTCCACACATAATTTTGAGAAGGTCTGGAGCAGACAGAGGAGTGATATTCTTGGAGCAGTAGTATATTCATTAATAACTCGGTGACCTTTGCTCATTCCTGTCCCCACTCCTAAGTCTCAGTTGTGGTAGGATAAAAGCTCGGTCAGGCCAGTTGAAGTGATTTCTTTAAAGGCCTGAGCTGTATCAGTTGGAGTTAATGGGAGGAACAACAAAAAATGTGTATGTGGAAGTGACTCCATGCTACCAGGCTGTTCTCATCTTGGCGTTGCTGTTACATGTAGAAATGCCCGGTCCTGGATGAGAAGGGACCTTTTTAGGGGGAAAATTTTGGTCCACTCAGATTTTACTGAGGATTCATTCAGAGACGTCTTCTAGCGTGCAGAGAATACGTTTGCTCAACAAGCTGGCATCATCTTCCCAAATGCAGCCCAAGAGTCGCTTTAAGTAGTGTCGGTGCCATGAAATAAACCACCTGTGAAGTCTGCTGAGGAGCTGGATGGAAACCATGGCTTCTGGCTATCATTTGGACCAGCTTAATGTGCTCTGGAAAAAAAAAATTTGCACGTCATATCACACCGGCTGAAAAAATAGTGCACATCAGCAGTGCTGTAACACAGAGTAAAGGACTCGCAGCAGGTGTTAACGTGCAGAGGCACTGAGCATTATGGTAACACCTGTGTTTGTCTAAATCCAGCCAAAACTATTTCCTCTCCAGTTGTAGAGGAGGATTTAAAAAAAAAATCTACCTAACTTCCAGTAGTAGCAGACATTTCCTGTAGAGCAATTTGCATAGTATTTCCCATGGTGCACTGTGGCTGCGCTGTGGTTTTCTCTTTTAAACTTTTTTTAGTTTGGGGACACCTTTGGTAACTGGTAAGTGACCCCCGACCGTTTCTTTGTCTCTCGCCAGCATTGCCAGGCCCGAGCAGTTGCAGATGGTGTGCTCTCTGAGTGCTTTCCTTAATTGAATGAAAAATAAAGCTTCTTGTAAAATATTACCAATTTAGATGTGACTTATGGGGCACATATGATGCTTATTTTTTCAATTACATGAAAACTTGGCGTGGTTAAACATAGGAAGCCAAGTGTTCTGTGAAGCTGGTATAGATTTCTGGATTTTTAGGTGATTTTGCTTTAAATTATTATATAGCAGAAGGGGGTGAAGGAAGTCAGCAGCTAAACTGTGTTTTCCCAGCATGTATTTCACTCAGTGGACCCTTGATGCTCATTTCATGACTAATATATGCTGTACTATACGCATTTCTTGTTGTCACCAGAGATAACATTAAGTAAACTATCCCCTTAAGAAAAACAGCTTTTCTTGGCAAGTGGAATATGACTCAAGGAGCCAGCACTGGAGACATACGGTGCTGTGAATGAGTGCTGTGTGTTACTCTACTGGATCTGAGTCCAGGCACTATTTATACTGCAGCATATTCAGCACCAGATTGTTAAATCTTAATACTGAAACAGTGCATCATTTAAATGTTTTTGTTCTGTTTATGTCCCATTTTCAAGCATTGGATATCAAGCAACACTTACTAACTTTCTGTTTCATTTGGACAAGATCTTCCCTTGCCAAAAGCTTTCTAATCTGCTCTTGAAATATTAGCCTGTCTGTACCAGCATGTTACAGTGAAATTTTGTACCACTGAGGATGAACTAGGTCGCTTCGAGCTTCTTTCAGTATGTGGTGATAGAATACCTTGCAAAGCAATACGTCAGTGGTAAATGCAAACATTTAAGTGCTACAGAAAAGGAGTTGTACTAAAATTATTTCCTCCTCAACCAAAAAAATATTCCATAGCAGTTATTTCATGGGCTCATAAGCACTGTGTTCTGTCATTGTCTCTGTGCAAGAAGCTTTGTTTCACTGTTTCAGAGGTGGTATTTATTTTAAGATCATGTTTGGGAGATCAGGATCAAAGGCCTTTGCCATTTATTTCAGTTGGATTAGTTCCAGAGCTGGTGAAGAACTGGGAGTAGAAAGTGAGGAGGAGAGAGTTGAAGTTTCTTGACATCACAGCATCCTTCCAGATACCCAAAGAGAGTTCTTAGAGCTCCTGTTAAGGAAGTAGTTTTCTCATCTATTAGTGTATTTCTGGCAGTAAAGTTTACAGATGGTCTTTTTGAAGATCAAAAAGTATATAAGCAGACCTCAAAAGGCATCAGTTTAAATGGGAGAAAAGGTGATTGGTGTCTTGTAGGGCTGTGCTGAGAGAAGTTATGTGAGCAGAACAGTGGGGCAATGGGAACACGGTGGAGGAGGGAATAAAAGCAGTAGTTGCAATAGCACAGAAAAAGGCCGAACTGCTTTGCGCTTATGTAGGATGGCACTGTGGCTTGCTTTGTTTGGCGTCTTCCTGGAAGTCATTCCTGGGTATTAGTCATTGTTTTTGGTGTGGGTGGGCCCTCTGCAATTGTCTAAACAGAAATAATACCTCTGCACCAAATGGTTTACCATTCCAAGTTTACAGTCTTTGTGGCAATCTCATCCAGAAGAGGTGATGATCCCTATTAAAGAATGAACAGAAGTAGAAATAGGACTTACAGCATTCCCCCCCGCCCCCCAAATGCTATTTTGGATCTGCGGTCAGCAGCTTGCAGTTGTTTTTTTCGCAAAGAAAAGCAACCGTCTGCATAGTGCAACTTGTAGCTGGGGGTGAACTCTTCCTACTTTGTGGATTTCCAGTGCCATCCATCCACACTGGGAATCGTACCATGCTTAGATTGTAACTGTGTGCTGAAAGCCCACACATAGGAATTTTCCTGTTCAAGTCAAAACCAATGCATTTATTTACTGAAGGGTTTTGTAGACTGCAAAATCAGGACTATAGGATATTTAAAGCTTGTTCTAACTTAGAGAACTAGGCTTTAGTGGGATGATGAAAGATGTGAAGGGAGGAAGCCTCCTGTGCTTCCTTGAAGTAATTTAAGAGCCAGGAACATGTCAGCAGCTCTCTGCTAAGAATTAAAAATCTATTCCTACTCTTCCCCATTGTTTGCTTCAGGAGTCAGTACAACAGATCTTTTTGAGCAAGACTGCAGTAAATCTCAAGGCAGATCTTGAATGTCGTGAACAAACAAGCTTATCAAAGGGTTTAGTAAATGGCCGATAAAATATAAAGTATGAATTTTTTGTTTTCTTTTCAGGAATAATCAAGCTTGGGAGGTGGAATCCCCTCCCTCTCAGTTATGTGACTGATGCACCAGATGCGACAGTAGCCGACATGCTACAAGATGTCTATCATGTTGTGACATTGAAAATCCAATTACAAAGGTGGGTGTTTCTGAACATCTGTCCTTCTCTATTCTCTGAGCTGCTCTGTCGATCACAGCGTTACTACAGAGATTAGCACATCCTGTCTTCATTAATTTCTGGTCTTTTGATGAAATGAAAAGAAAAATGAAGAGAAGAGTGGGTCACCTGGCAGCTTTTTGGTGCATGTTCCAGCTGATTTTGTATGTTTTCTGAAGTAGCAATATGGCAGCAGAGAGGGGAGGGGCAGAAACTCAATCAAGGAAAGATATGGGGCCTTTAAAGGCAGACCTTTCCACAATCCCTAATTTAATGGATTCCTGAGGCCTTATTGTATCAAAAAAAATAAACTCCTTGCCTTTTTCCAGGGGCTGCATTGTGAGAATCCAGGTCTTCTACTGCCAGTTGCTGAGATGGGGAGGAGGGGAGCTTGTTGACTTTCCTTTTTTCTCCAGTAGTCTTCCCAGTGAAAAGGCGAGAAGATGAAGAAGGGATGTGTTACTGCAGCTCCATTTGGCATTTGGAAAATATTTTCCTTCCCTGAATGCTAGTTCTGATTAGAACAGCAAAAGCTCCTGACACTTTTACACTTACTTGCCCTCCATTTCCGCCCCCCCCCCTTTTTCTCCCCCTTTCTCTCTATCGGCCTTCAAGAGAGTCCTCAAATAGTTACTGATGTCTGCATAAGGTGTTGTGGCAGGTCCCTGGCAGTGCATGGCATACTCTAGACCGGCTGGTAAGCCTACATTACGCAGACTGCTGTAGCTCTATGGCCAGGACATGTCAGAGGAAAAGAGGCAAAAATAACAGACAGCCTGGAATAATTTGCCCACAATTCTTTGAAGCTCAACTTGAACAGAAGAGGGGTCTATTGGGACGTGTGTCTGTGTCCTTTGGTGGCAGGTACATACCCTCCAACTGTTCAGTTCGGTTTGGAATTTGGCAGTAGTTGGTGCCTCACTGACATTAACCTCCCAAACAGCAACATTTCTTTCCTGTTATATCTCTGATGGGGCTTGGGGTTTCCAGTTCCCACTAACAGGCATTTCCTTGGTTTTATATACTGTTGTCATTTCTCAGCTAGACTGCATCTCTGCAGCATAGTTGTAAAAGAGCATCTAGAGCCTGTAGCCGCTATAAAACTGGAGTGCAGTAACTCATCTCCTCAAAAGTATGAGCTACCAGGAGTCCATCTAGCCTATTGTCACATCTGTATTACCGCAGGGTATCAGCCCAAGATCAAGGTCTCATTCTTTATCTTCAAAGTGCTTGAATGCCTGGATGCCATGTAAATAACAGATAGCCTTTGAGACTATCTGTTGTGACTTTGAGATAAAGATGGTCATTGACTGCTTGAACTCCTCAAGCACAACTGAACTTTCAACTCCGAGGGTAAAGCCGGGCTGTACAGGCAGAAGGCAGAACCACCTCGGAGGCCGATTGGAGAGCGGGCACTAAGTTTCTCAGGCATGAATGGCAACGACAAGCTTCTCCCAACTTTCTGATGTGCTTCTCGGGTCTGTCCCCCTGTATGTAGACACAGACCATAAGCTTGTTAAATTAAAAGAGGCACAAGTCACATGAAGACAAAAGCTTCACTACACACGCAGTTCTTGTAGAATGAAAGTGAGGATGAACTACATATGACAGATGTTGGGCATATGGCTTAATGTGTTTCTGAAAGGCTCTCGGATACTTCAGCGATGAGGGCAGTATAAGAACTGGTGTAAAATAAAATTAATTTTTCAGACTCACTGCTCAAAGCCTTGCCGCCACACAATGTGGGCCCTTACTGTTTAGTGATTTTCTTAGTGACAGTGTGGCATATATATTTATTTTTCTATCCCAGCAGGAGTATCTTTCTTTGTCTGGAGAGGATGGCTTTATCCAGCCATTTCTGGGGCTTGCTTTATGCAGTTTCTTTGCTCTCCACCAGGCCCCAGAGGGAATAGTTATGCACTCATATAATATCATAGTAGGATTAGCTGCTATTCCTGCCATGTACTGTCTTTCTTTTAGTTAAATGACACATATTCTGGGAGTTGGGCTTGGTGGGGAGGGGAAAGAGGGGAGAAACACCTTGACGGGCTGGCTAAGCAGGAAACTCCAAGGTTGTGCTCGCTGCTTAAAGGTCTATAGCACTTGTATGCAAAGAGTAAGCATCTATGAAGGTGATGATTCTATCTACTTTTTGCTTTCTGTTTTAACAGTTGTTCAAAGTTGGAAGACTTGCCAGCAGAGCAGTGGAACCATGCCACAGTTCGCAATGCCTTAAAGGAACTGCTCAAAGAGATGAATCAGAGCACATTAGCCAAAGAATGCCCACTCTCACAGGTCAGTGTTTTTAACAGGCTTAGGGAAAGCCAGATTTACAAGATCTAAAGCTCATATTTGTTCAGTAAAGGGCTTAGATGAAACAATTCCATAAATATCAAATCAATTTCTTGTTTTCTTTAGAAAGAAGAAATTCGTATTAATATGAAAAAAAGTATCTTTATACCATGTTTTCTTAGTGGGTTGCCAGGTGGAAATTATGAATGAATTGGTTGATTTTTATCCTGCTGTTCAGTGAGATGTAAATTCTTCATTCTGAACCTTTTGCAATAGGACTGATGGTCCTCAGATGCAAGATCTGAGTTGCTTCTTCCCACTAGCAGAGGCCTGCCTCCCCCGCTACCCTGTAGGTAGCTCACATCAGCCCCCAACTATGATAAAAAGTATGCTGTTTTAACAGTTGTGCCCCAATTTGTAGGAAACAGCAACAAAAAATGTATATGTGATTATGTTAAAAAAAGAACAAAAACTCAGTCTCATTCTCCATGACTGCTTTATAAACGGCAGTGACATCATGTCTAAGACACTAAGACACAGGTTCCTACAGATATCATGAGTTCTATTTGTACTTCAGATTGTCATAACAAGAGATTCATAAAATTTTCATGACCGAGTCCTCCTTGCCTCTCAGAAAAAACAGAAAAACTCTTCAGCACCCAGACCAAGTAACTTTGCTAGGAGTCAAAAATACATTGCCTTCTAAAAACTTTGTTAGAATCATAGGTTAATCTGTCTGTTGTATCTTAAAAAAGTCAAAACGTCAGTAATCCCTGCTTGCTAAAAATTTGCTAGCCTGTATCTAACATTTTTTCTCCTGTGGTTGCCTATCTTGCATTGTACTGTACGCTCATCCTGCAATTCATGATCCAAAGCCTCAGTGAACCAAGAGAATTCTTTCTGTGTATAACCAGCATAAATTTGCCTCACTGTGTTATGATTGCAACTCCAGGGAAAGCATAGAGGTGAGATACAGAGCAGAATTTAGGTCTTTGCAGTTGGTAGGAATCATGTTCCTCATCTTCCTTAGCCATGTTGGGTCTGCAGAACTAACAGGAATGGAAAGGCTGTGTAAGGAAAAGCCTTGTAACTTGCCTTATTTACCAAAGGAGTAGCAGTGACTCTAGATATGCACAGAACGTGTGTTGAATGCGAAAGTATTTTTCTTTTCACACAGTTTAAGTGTAATTTCTTTAAATAGAATTATCTGTGGAATCTGGTCAGCTAATGATGATTGCAGCATATGGTTGTCTCTGCCCAGTGTTCTTCAATATCCAGTATAACTAAACTATGCATCATTTCATATGCAGAATTCACTTGTTGTCTGGGTCTTTCCCCTCCCACTTCAGTTTCAAAGCCTACCAGGTGGAAATGCTGCAGTTGGTTTAATCCTTCTATAGCCTCAGTCTGAAATATATTTACAAAATTACTGAAGGACTGCAGCAGCAAAAATCCTTGCCCCAGTATTTGTTTAGTGGACAAAACCAAAAGGAGATCCTTCTGTAGAAAATTGAGCTTTCTTACTTTTAAGCGCAGGTGTAAGTGACCTCGAGTAGTGACTAACCCTTGAACTGGGACTGCAAGAATGCAGCTTGTATTATTATTGTTATTATTGCCATAAAAAGTTTCAGTCTCTTTTGTTTTGGCTCACAAAATGCAAGAGATACAATGGAAGGTTGTAGAGGAGCTATTACATTCATCTGAATATGCCTCTAATACAATTCCTTCTCCCAAATCAGTTTTAAAAAAATATCGTGCCAAATGTGAAATGTCATTACAACCCCCTTGTGGTTAATATATTATTGACAGCAGCAAATTGCAGAGTGGTCTCTTAGGAGTCAAACTGCAGAGTAAATGCTGCTGTTTATTAATGTGTTCACAGTGCCTCAAGTACAGAAGTGGAGAGGGGCAGCGCAGGGAGCTCCGCTCCCACCAGCGACGGTGCTCTGTCTCTGGTTCTCAGTGCCCGAGCTTTCCATGCAGCCCAGATGGGGATTCTGATTGCCGCTAATGGGAAATGTAATCATTCACTTTGATTTAAAATTGTTCTGTTTTTTCTGCTAGGTGTATTATGTGGCTGCAGCTTAGCTACTCTTAGCATACAGCTCCTTTTCAAACAAATAAATCCCAGTTAACCAAGCAGGGGGGAAGGAGGGTAGGTGGGGGGAGTGTGTGTGGCAGAAAGAAATCCAATTATTTCAGCATTTCCATCTTTGCATAGAGACCTCTGTCTTTCCTGTATATTGTATAAGTCATTTTAGCCCTGACCATGAGTTTTGTCTCTTTGCTGGAGCAAGATTTCTTGGGATGTGAGCACATCCCATATTTTTCTCCTTCAACTTACTGCACCGGATTTTCTTTATGTGGATATTTCTTAGCTCCTGGTCTAAGTAGTTTTCATTCCATGTGGCTGTCATGGCCACACACATACCAAACATACCTGCTACTTTGTATAATCTATTCCTTACTTAAGGATTTTCCCAGGAATAACGTGCATTATTTAGAAATTCACAATTAGTCAATTTTTTTTGCCACTCTCTTCTGAATGGATATTTCCTTTCTGCAGACTTATCAAGATTCCTAGCAGAAATACCCCTAGGATTCCTTTCCATTTAATAGTGAGGATATGCAGTTTGAAAGTTGTTATGGTTCCTTCCCCTGCTCTACTGTCAAGCAGTTGAAGAGAACCTGTCCGGGGATTTTTCACCAATGGTTGATTTACTATTTGATTTTACTATTTAGTTTAAGCTTTGCTTTCTCAAATAAAGGTTAATGGGTTAATATATTTTGTGATATTTAATAGCCCTACAATTTCAGTAATGTCGATTTACTGTAGAACTAGAGGATTTGGGGGGAAAAAGGGGGGGGGACGGGGACCAAATTGATATGTAGATGGAGCTAAACAATCTCCCCACCCTTCCTTAGTGACTGGAAATTTACCTAATGTGACTCAAAAAAAAGCAAGTTAGCTCAACTTTGTTCAAAATCCTTCCTTAGCAGAGGCTACCTCCATGTCAGGCTTTCAGAATACTATTGCTTGGTAAAATGACTTGGAGCAAGGGAGGATTTATGGGGAGGGAATTGCTGCTGACTGCCACAATGCTAGGTTTATGTCTCAAAATATTGATTTTAATTAGAAAATTGAATCTCAGTTTTAGAAATTGAAGCTGCCACTTAAAAAGGCTCTTACTTCATAGCCTTCAGACACTCCCGCAGTGCACCGTAACAGCCTTCGAGTGGAAAAGTTGAAGTGAAAAGGCAGAAGAGCCTCTTTACTGAAAGTGAAATTACCTGTTGAAGACTGAAACTAATCTGCACCACCCAGTTATCTTAAGTCTCTCAGTTTCGCTCACATTTTTTAAGTCCCCAAAACTCCAGAGTTCAGGAACAGCTGGAGTCCTGTGATACTGCAGTGAATTGCGTAGAAGGCTGGATAAATCTGGAAGAGGGAGGGGATGTTTTTGTTTTTAAAGCGTTGTTAAAATTGAGTAAGCCAATGTGTAAGCTTTGTAGCTTTCCAGAGATGGCCAAGATCCCATTTTGCCCAAGAGCCTGCAGGAGCCGGCGGGCCAGAGCTGTAACCCACGGTAAATAGCTTGTTCTCGCTGTCTCATCTCTGTGCAGAAAGGTCATACAATGTGCCAGGGCTTTTTCTGAGTTTTGATGGAAGTGAGGAAGGAGGGCATAAGGAAAAGGTGATTTCTGGAGAAGGTGCTTTGGCTCCCATGTGTTAGTGGTGGTAGATTGCATTTCCTTGCTGGAAATTTACACGTGCTGGGAATGATTTGACCCTGGAAGAGTTTGGGAGGGGGGAAAAGGAAAGCAAAACGTTGTTAAAAAGATGCCTCCTCTAGAGAAGGGGTGAAGGGAGGGGAAAAAAATAGAAAGGAGGAACTACCAGTAACCAGGCTCTTTCCCACCCTATGGGCAGAGGCATCCCAGATATATAGTATCATTTTTATGGGTATCAGGTGCTGCAAAACAGCTCCGCTCCTCTCTGCTTCAGTTGGCTTGTACTAAGAGTTGCTTGGAGGGAATTCACAAGGAGTAGAGAGGAGTGGTGGTTAAGCAAGTGGTATTTCAGTTTTGTTGAGCTTTTTTGTGGTTTTTGGCTGTTCTGTATTGTAGTATGTGTAGTTCCCTTTGCTCTGAATGACACTGTTAATTTCTCTTTTGGGTGATTTTTCACACAAGGGCTAATCACACGTTTCTATAAATTATATTAATTTAACTTATTTGCCTAACTGTTGTTCTGCAGTGAGTAGCACGGATGTTCTCCGATTCTTGGCTGTGTGGTCTCGCTGCATTTGGAAGCAGAACAGAGACATCTGAAAAGCCTTATTTGGATTATGCATGCTGCAGCATCTAATCTTACCTTTAGGATCTGGTTCCTAAATCATGCTTGTTCTCACCCGGGTGCAGTGAGCATGTGTTCCCCAGCATGGCACCGCCTGTTGTTACACAACTAAAGTTTAGATATTGGAATATCACAGGCACAAAGTAAAGTAGAAATGCCCTCCCCGGCCTGAGCTGCAGCTCTCAGTCTAGGTTTGTACTGCATCTTTTTTGCATTATTATGCAAAATAATAATTATTATTATTTTCTAATTTTAATTATGGCTGGGAATATAGAATGGAGAATAAAACCAATGTTGTGTACTCCTCAGACACTTCTTTTGGTTTTAAAGTCGCAAATGGATGATGATTGTGCACTCGCATGTCATTCACTTTCCCTGGAAAAGATTTCTAATTGTGTAAGATATTTTAAAACACTTTTTGTCTTTCTTTCTGTACTTCCAGAGTATGATTTCATCCATTGTAAATAGCACATACTATGCCAATGTGTCAGCAACCAAGTGCCAGGAGTTTGGGAGATGGTACAAAAAGTACAAGAAGATTAAAGGTAAATTGATTTTTTGTGACTTTCCAAGTTCTTGAACTTCTGCTGACAGTTTGAGATTATTTGCTTTAAGTAAAAGTGATAATAAGCTATAATAAAATTAGTGAATTTGTCTACAAAGAGGGCACAGTCACAGCACATTTGAAATTAAATCTGATACTTTAAAAACAAGGCTGGCGTGAAAACACAGGCCACTTAAAACATGCTTAAAATATCCCATTTAGCTGTGCTGAAAGATCAACTGTGTTTTGAATTAAGCTAAAATGTTTTGGAAAAAAAAAGTTCTAGTAGCTCTGGATTTAAAAGTTAAATTGCTATGTAAATTACCTTAGTTGTGTTTTATTCATGAAAGCTAAAAACCTGTCTTTCTAAGTTACATGTGCCCTTGCTCTCTGTTTTCAATACTACTAAGTGTACTGGCATTGCTGCCATGTTTTATCGTGTGGAATCTGGATACCAGTAGTGCATTTAATACCTGATTGTTAGGAGACATTGCTAAACAACAAGGTGCTGCACCCATTGAAGTTAAGATGAAAATAGCCCATTGTTTGTATTTTTACTACAATGAAATGGTATTAGTTGGTTAGCAGTGAATGCCTGAGGCAGTAAAATTAGTCTACGGAAGTTCATCCCACTCTCACCACTGAAATGTCTGATCACCTTCTAATAGTACATAAAGTGATGTGACAAGCATCTGTCGTGTAGTTTGTTCTTTTATTCATTCTTTCCTTTGGGAAGGGACTTGCATGTGTACTTGTCCTGGTTTCGGCAGGGGTAGAGTTAATTTCCTTCCTAGTAGCTGGTACAGGGCTGTGTTTTGGATTTAGGAGGAGAACAATGTTGATAACACACCGTTGCGAGGTAGTGCTTACACTAGTCAAGGACTTCTCAGTTTCCCCTGCTCTACCGACTGAGAAGGCTGGAGGTGCACAAGAAGCTGGGAGGGGGCACAGCCAAACTGGCCAAAGAAACATTCCATACCATGTGACGTCATGCTCAGTACATAAACTGGGGGAAGCTGGCCGGGGGGGCCGCTGCTCGGGGACTGGCTGGGCATCGGTCGGCGGGTGGTGAGCAACTGCACTGTGCATCACTTGCTTTGTGTATTATTATTATTACTATTATTATTATTATATTATTGTTGTTATTTCAATTATTAAACTGGTTTTATCTCAACCCATGAGTTTTTCTCACTTCTACTCTTCCAATTCTCTCCCCCATCCCACCAGGGTGGGGTGGGGGGGAGTGAGCGAGCGATGTGTGGTGCTCAGATGCTGACTGAAGTTAAACCACAACAGTACTGGACCATTTGTTTTGGTAGATTTTTTGTTTTAAAACACACATGTGCTTTGAGCAGGAGTTTGGGGATAGTCAAAAGCTTTTCCACAATACCAACGGGCTCCTCTCTCCCCAGATGTCTATCAGCCTTGGAGATTAGCTTTACCCTGTGATAGGTTTTTTCATAGTTTTCTCTCTGTTACACCACTGAAGGGAAGATTCATGGTCTGAAAGAAGACATAAGCCTTTTTTGTTGTTTCTGTCTGTGATCCTTTCAGTGGCCAGGAAAATCATAACAGGATTCACAAGCATTATGCAGAAATAGGGTAATATCCTTTCCTTCTTGAGAAACCATTGTATTTGTAGTCGCATGAAGATTAGCATCTTTTAAAAAAAGTCTGCTGTCTTCTTCTCTTAAAAGGCTGGCATACATGAGCTATGAAAGGTTGCTTGTTTAGTTTCCATAGGACAGACTAGAAATCTGCATAATAATGCCATAAAGAGTCTGCTGCTTGAGTTAGGAACACATGAAACGAAATTGCATAAAATATCAGAACAAGTTCTGAGGCATCTGGTTTTCCTCTGCACGTCTGGCTTATGCAGAGCATACCTGTAAGACGCTCAGGCCTGGGCTGTGCAGTGATTAGATTTCCACTAGGGGGGAAAAAAAGAAGAATGTTTTGTGGTAAAATTATTCGTGTCTAGAAGATTGTTCAGACAGAAGTGGGGTAACAGTGCAGATGAGGAAATGGAGGTGTTGCTTGTCACCTACTAAAATGATTTAGGCTTGAAGTAAAAATGTTGATTGGACGTTTTAGTACATGGTTACCCTCGTGCCAAATAAACTGGATAGTTTCTTCTCTCTTTAAATTGCCGTTGTGTGACTTGGAAGTGTTTCTTTTCTCTGAATTATGTCTCTTAATAAAAGAATTTTATTTGAAGTGCTCTAACATATCCTCTTGGTTAAAAAACAATCAAAGGAATCAAACAGCTTCAAGGTCATCACCATTCGCTTTTACTTGCTGTTCTAGGAGAACAGAGACAGGCTTTTTTTTTTCCCCTCCCTTCTTTTTCCCAAACTGGGCAAGGGTGCCAGTTGCAGAGGCACTGGAAGCCCTTAACTGTAGTGTTCTTAACTGTAGAGATGCCACTACAGCTTCTGAGTGTTTCTAGCACACTGCTGTCTTCCACTGTCTTCCATTCTTAGAGCACTGAATTCTTTAAGTTCTTATTTTTTTACTTAGTAAGTGCACAGTTAAATTGTTAAGTGCAGTAAAAGCAGAATGAGACCTCAATCAAGAGGTCAAGGATCTAAACCTGAAGAGTTTGCCAGATAACTCTGTATCTGCTATTCAAAGAGACACAGCCAGTCATTGCTGTTTGGAAGTGTATGTGCGTGTTAGTAGCAGGAGAAAAAGGAAGGTTAAGGTATGTGTGAAGTAAACACAAGCTGCTATAAAGCAGTTCAAGTAGTGTTGATTCATCAAGCATGTGAGTGGGAGAGAAAACAGTCTATGGCAGGTACAGTGGTGCATGGAGAATAAACAGCCATGCAACTTCAGGGCAGTAATCTAAACCCCCGGGAAACAGGAAGACTTCTGCACTTCTTCGGGTGGTTTCAATTTCTCATCATCTCTGTTTTCACGACGTTTTGTTTCTTTTCTGTAGCCACATATTCCTACAGAACAGCTCAGTCAGTATGCAAAATCAGTGACGAGTTATATGCTTCAGTCATCACATACTCCTTTAAAAATAATTAAAAAAAAGGACTTAGGTTTTCCATGAAGGTGGACAGTTGGTGCAGCAATTCATTTTTCAGATTGTAAAACTGTAATTTAGAGCCTTTGGACCAGCACCCATATCCATGTGTGACTCTAGAGCTGGTTATTAGAAAGTAAAAGCAAAAAACAATTCACATGAGCTGTGGTAAACGCAAAATAGGAAGGGGCTTCAAAATAACTTTATTGACGTTGCAAACTAAATGCAGCCTACAGTGTTAAATGTGTTTCCTATTATCTGCTAATGTCTGTTTTAATAAAACAGTGGGAACTAAATGGTTGCTTCTTAATCAAAACCATGATTTCCTAAACATAAGCTATGTGATTCTGTTACAAATTGCCACATATAGATCTCCTAGGTCAAACTTTTTTCCTTTCTTATAGAAATAAATAAACAGTAAAATAATTATACACTCTGGAAGATCAAAGTAATTACAACTGAAGCCAGGCAAAAATAAAAAGTTCTCTGGAAAAAAAAAAAACGCAAAGCATCAGGTTGCCGAGTATATAGTTAATGTTTAAATAAATATAAGAAAGTGAACAATCAATAATTTGATATCATTAGCAACAGATGTAAAAGCTGTACACAAGTGGAATTGTATCAAATCTCAAGTAAACATTCGCAGTGTGCATTCTGTTGAACTCGCCGAAAAGACAGCTAAACTATTTATGCTTGTAATTAAAAAAAGTTTTCAGTTAGTTCAGCTCAGCATGGTAATTTTGTCTTGTGTCAAGACGATGCTAGAATAAAATTCTGCTTGAGTTTTTTCTCCCACCCCGCCCCAGCCCCTTAAGGTTTTAAGACCTTCACAGTTTACTCAGCGGCACGAGAGTCAGTATACAGATAGGTTCGGGAATTGGCTGGTGTGAGGATGGAGGCTTTTTGTCTCCTCCTGGCTCTGAGCCTACCGCTT